ATCGCCTATAATTTGTAGCAATTTATTTGCTTTGGTGATTTGATGTTTCAAGAAACAACTGTTGTATGTCCGCTCTAAAAGATGGCTTCTAGTGGCACAAGATGTCAAAAGCTGTGTGACTGGAGATGTTGGCTCTGTGTGAACGTCTCTAGTTTCCAAATTGCTCAGATCCTCTGCCAGAGCAATGTACTGTATTGGCAGCCTTGAGATCATTGCAAAACATTCTTGGTAATTTTATACAGAAGTTGTAACTGTTTATTTTTCATTGTTGTTCTCATTAAGAGATGGTTGCTTGGAGTGGGATAGAATTAGAACTCAGCGGACTTAGTGACATGTATAACGGTTGTCACCGCTGATATGCTTCATACGATATTCTCAGGGTAGACATTGTTCAGCTGTAGGGTTCTCCACAGCATCCCTGGTTTCAGCTATTGTTACGCATACCTGAACTTCCTATGCTTATGCCGCTGGTTTCCAGTTTCTTTCTTCCTCCCGTGTCCAACAGTTGCATCCTTTTTTACCCTCCTTCTCTCACATATATTTTCTCTCATTCTTGTTTCTGCTAAGAAGTTCATGGGAAAATCTCTGTATATGTACGAGTCAGCTCTTCTCCCAAAACCATGTGATAATAAGCCTTGGCCAGTACACAAACCTCCCCTGTGGGTATCTGTTCTATTGAAATTTATAAGCCACCAACACTCGATGGCGTTGAAGAATAAATCACTAAATTCTGCATTTCTAATCAACACTGCCATTTATTTACTGGAAACTTTTTGGTCCCCAAATACAAAGGCAATGTTTTACTTGTTTTTTCATTCTAACGAACGTAAATACTTTTTGTACAAATTAAATTACTTGGCCCCGTTTTGCATTTCTTGAGAATTTACGATATTAGACAATGCAATTTTCCAAACACACTGAATCTGTCACCAACCTAGATTTAATATTGACTACATGAATGAGCCTACTAGTTCTTTTTCCTTCCTCGCTCTTGTTTTTATCAGTCATCTCTTGCATTTAGTGATATTATCTGTTATTTGAATAAATAAAAATTATCCTTTGATCAGTTTAGGAATGGCTTTTCTTCAGCATTATCCTTTGCAAGGCCTTTGTATATTCGAAAACCAAGAAGGCAACTGGAAATCATTGGCTACACTTTGGTTCTTTCTGCTTTACATTTTATGTTCTTGGACTGTCTGATTTTCTTTTTGTAGGCTGTAGGTGTGTATATAAGCAAGGGCCAGAGGAGTGTGTGTATTTTTCTCGTCTTTGTACTTTTTTGGTACTGGAGATTGAAACTTATAGGACTTTATACGTTTTAGGTAAGCTGTCTATCATTGAGCTACATTCTCTGCCCATTTTATTTTATTTTATTTTGAGAGAGTCTCGCTAAATTACCAAGGCTGGTCTTCACCCTCCTGAGTAGCTCGGATTACAGGCATACACCACCATACCTAGTGGCTTCTTCTCTTCTTGATGCCACATATATAACAACTGCGGACCTCCCTCATTTTTTTTATCTAAACTCTGTAAATGCCTTAGCAGCTGCAATTTGGTGGCTATATCCATTTTCCTCCTGACAGCGTTGTTTAGGACAAAGGAAGTTCCTAAGGGGGAGCAACGGCAATGGGACAGAAGTTGACCACCCATGTTGGGAACTGCAAAGAAGCAGCTAAAGTGTGGCCCGAGCCTGGGAGGCAGTTGAGGCAGGTGAGAGTCCTGAGTGCTCTGAGGAAAGAGTGGGACTCTGTATGTAGATCGGTGTTCAGCAGAGATTTGGGGAAGAAATGCAGAAGACTTGGAGGCCAGTTCAGAAACTTCTGGAAATGCATGTGTGGGGTGACACCCTCTTTATGCCCACTGACCATCTGGAGCCGGCGGCCCCAGCTGTGCTGGCTATGAGGGACCAGAACTGGCCCAGCTGTCTGATACCGGCTACCGTGATGTCAGTGTTTCCCATCATGTTGATCTAGGAAACAGTTACAGCCCAATCCGTTATAAGTGGAGAAAGGAAACGCAATGCTAACTGAAAGAGCACTCTGTCGGGCTCATCCCTTTTCTTGTTACATCTCTATAGTTGACTCAGCAACACTAGCCTACCCCAAGTCATGGTAGGCACACTATCTACTCCACTTGTGTGGATGCTGATATGACTCAGTGCAATGTTTTCAGTCTGGAGACATCTTAGGATTGGGCCTGAAACCAGTATGACTGTTAACACAACTTCATGATTTGAAAGCTCGTCTCTCTTTGAAGTGTATAGGAGATATTTTCGACTAGCCTTCTTTCAGAGTGAATTTTTGCGGGTGCTAGTGGGGATTAAACTCAGGGAGCACTAAGTCACCTTCCCAACACTTTTACAATTTTTTTTTTTTGATTTTGAGACTGGCTCTCACTAAATTGCTCTGGCTAGTTTTGAAATCCTCCTGTCTCAGCCTCCAGAGTAGCTAAGATTAAAGGTTTGCGTCACTGTGCCTGGTGCAGCTTAATCTTTTTTAAAATTGAGGAGGCTATAGAAGGCCTATGCACAATAAAAGGCAAATTGCAAGAAACATGGACATAGACTCTGTGGAGATGGATAGGGGGATTTGGGAATGAGGGGAAATGGAAAGGGGAGTAAAAAGCTGTGCGATGTGGTCAGTGTATGTACCCCTACCCTACAATGACTGCACTGTATCCATTAGGTATTACACACACATTCTAATAAAAAGGGAAACATGAAGGCACAGAGAAGGTAAAGTTGATGTGTCAGAGGCCTCCGCGGGCCTGAAGTGTGAAGGATTTCAAAGTATCAGAACCTTGTGGCAGGAGGTAGCTGTGGGAGAAGAGAAACGGAGGCCTGAGCTCACACTGCCTGCAAAAAGATTTTTCTTGACCGTCCCAGGCAGGAGTCAGAGGGAGAGTGACATGTGAAGGTCTCCTGATCTAGAGAAGAGGATAAAGCACTAGAGATAAGCCTGAAGTCCTGTGAAGCTTTTTAGCTCACTGGGATGTTTTCCTCTTTTGCTTCGGAGAAAGACTGAGATGACTAAAGGGTATTTTTTTTTTTAAAGCCTAAATGATTTACTTTCTAAAATTAATGTCTATTAAATGACTCATATTACAAGTTTTAGAAAAAATAAGAATTCTATACATATACTCCTGTGACATAAAAACCCCCGAGTTAAACTGTCCAATACTTAGAACTACAATATGGTTTACAAAATACTGGGTTCCCAAGAATGGTATGGTCAAAGAAAGATGTATTAGTTTTTAATCTACTGCTATATAACAAAATAATTTTATTGAGATTTTCACAAAATTTGGAAATATTCTGGGTCGTCTGACTTAACCTGTGACCATGGAGGAGGAATATGAAGCTCAGTTTAGCCTGGTGATTGGTAGGAGGCCCCTCTCCTGGAAGTTACCAATACTGAGGTGTGAAGAAACTGCCTGCACACAGCTCAGTCTCCGCGGCATGCTTCAGAGACAGCAGCAGAAGGGAGGAGTTAATTCAGAGATGGTACATTATTCTCACGAGTGAAGGAGGGTTAGATAATTAGTGTATAAGCTTGAATAATCAATGTTCAATACTCCATACCGTCACTGAGGAGTAAAATTTTGCGTACGTCATGCCAACATTTTCCAGTCTATCACTAAGGCGATATATCATGGAAAGTCATGTGGAATGCGCATGGTATCTCATAAACAGAAAATTAAGAACTTGTGGAAAATAGGTTCTGTAGCATATGCTAGTATTTAAAATTAATTATTTAATACTTCAATTTTGCATCACAGTTTGGTCCTAAAAATCCCATAAAATAGGAAACACGTGTATTTATGCTATTGTGTGCAAAGAGATGGTATGTAAGGGTTTTTTCTGCACTGTCTAATTTCTCCATTTTGCTATATATGGTATAATTTTAAAAGATTTTTATTCATAATGCTCAAAGATTTAGTCATTTTCATCTTCTACTTAGAATTCAGTTGACATAGCTTGTCATTTAAAGTAGTATTTCAGAATATTGCCACCTAGAATAGTTTGTTTCTGTAGATAATTCACAGGAGCAGATGGAGAAGGAAAGAAAGGTGAAAGATGGTGATTTCCTGTGACATTGATCATGCTGTTTCATTTGACATTTAGTGATTTTGAATTCTTTCAGAAATCCCTCCCCCCAGTGCCCATACTAAACATGGAATATCTTAATTCCTTTTGGCTTTAGCTTATTTGGTACTAAATACACACTTATGTAGGGCAATCCCAGTAATGGTTCGGTAAGTATTTCCTTCTCTCACTGAGACACTAGCATTATTTTGTGCTTCTCTCTGTTCCCCATTACCTAGCTCAGGGCTGGGCGCACATGAGCTACTCAATAAATCCAAACTACAAAAACAAAGTAGAAAACTGTAGGTCAAGGCTGGTTTCCAGTAGTTTCAGGGAGCACTCCTCCTCCACAAAGTGGATTCTGGCTGGCCTGCTGTCATGTGGACCCCTTTACCTCCAAGTTACCCAGAAAACCGAGAAGAACCTTTGGCTTAGTCATCCATGCACACAGTCAAAATAAAATAGGTACTTTTCATTTTAAGCTGGACCATGAATATTTGGATGCCGGACAGCATCACATTAAATATGATTATATAACTGAAACCAAAGGCATATTTAAGTGCTTTGGGGACTCAGCAGGTCACACTCTGGAAAACGGAGTCAGAAAATCTGGAGATCTTCTCCGGACTGCCCATTTAACCCACAAGCCCAGTGCAAGCATGAAAATCCAGTGCATGAAACATCATGATTTTGAAGACTCACCCCTGAGATTTTGTTAACAACTAAGTCAGAAAATAAGCATAACATATAACAGATAATAAAATCTTAAAGCGCCACTAAGTTTTAAGAGAGCAGAAATAAGCCTCGGTAAAAACAGAGCAAAATTCCAAAGGTCAAAGAAGTTTGCAGTGACTCTCTTACTAAGGAATCAGAGAAAGTGTTCAAACCTGCAAATGCATTCGTAGTTACTTCCTACCTTAAAGACATTGATAGGGAGATCAATGACCACATAGATAAGGTCTCCAAGGGCAAGGCTGGCTATCAGCGCGTTGGGGCCATTCCTCATACACTTGTTCTGGTAAATGATCCTGAGCAGAGTTGCATTCCCCACCATTCCCACGATGAAAATAGTACAAGATATCACAGTGTTAATGTATTTGAAAGCTGCAGTAATTTTAGTCTGCTGTGGGCAATAGCTGTGCAGGGAGCCATTGCTGGGTAGGGCCAAGTTAGTGGGTCGATGCGTGGTGACCAGGAAGTTAAGCTCTGTCCCATGGAAAGTGGTGAAGTTATCCACAGGATTGCTTAGATTTGTGCTGTGTCTCTCAGGGTTATCACCAATTACACATCCCACCAGTGCCAGCCAAAAGGAGGCCCTGAGCCGGAAGGTTTCCATCTTGATGTCTGATGGTGCTGCTTGTATACCTGGAAAAAGAAAGAAATTATTTTTGTTACAAAAGCTAGCTGGTGAAACAATCAATGATTATTTACTGGATTAATTAAAATATAGGTTATACTTGGTAAATAGGTAAGAGATATCTATGTCAGGTTACCCCCCATGGCAGAACACAACTAGAGAAAAGCCGAAGATTTATTAGGTCTCTCTCTCTCTCTCTCTCTCTCTCTCTCTCACACACACACACACACACACACACACACGGAGAGGTACATACACACCCCTATCTCCATCTGATCTCTATCCAAAGTTATATATGTTCAGACCATAATATGGATAAGAATATGTTAGTCTTTCCTTAAAGTAGTAGTTACTTTTTTCTCTCTCTGTTCAGGCTGACAAGAATCTGACTTACAAAAAACTTGGGAGGGTTGAGAGACACAAAATGTTATGTATTGTTAATACTACCACTACCATTATTATTATTAGTATGGTATCATGACCTTCCTTTGCACTGAGTTACGTCTCTAACCCTTTTCTTATTTTTTATTTTGAGGCAGGGTCTCCCTAAGTAGCTAAGTTGCCCAGGCTGGGCTGCATTTACTGTCCTCCCAGAGTGCTGGGATTGCCAGCCATACCACCACATCCAATTCAAAACTTTCCGAAATAAAAGTATTATAATATGTCAAGTAAAAGTTGTGGTATCTAGGCTAAAATAAAGTTACCAAACTATGTAACTAATAATTCAGTACTGCTTTACGCATCGTAAATAATGAACATGGGACTAGAGAGCAGCACAGATAGCCATCTCAAGTGTATCCAGAAGTTCATTTAAAATCAGGACTCTGGTTAATTCCATTAATGCACTGAGAAATCCTAGTTTTAATCCAATATGATATAATTGATAAAGACAAAACGTTTATTTTGAAAACTTTGATGAGTAAAGTATGACATTTATGTCTTCTAACAGGAGTTTTTGCTGCTCTATGCAACAGAAATTATTGTCACAATTTTTGCTAATGAGTGCAATGGGGATAAAGTATTTCCCCAGACTAGACATACTGTTTGGTTTTCAAGGATCTCCTGTCACCATGCTGCTTTTTCTGTCATGGATATTTGGAAACAGAGGTTCAAAAAGGCAAAGTCCCTTGTCAAGGTCACAAGGGGTGTTGGCAACGCTGCACTTCTAAAAGGTGGGGTAGTTTGATTCCATACCCAGCCTGAACTCTTAACCACTAGACCACCCTATCTCTCTCATTTTTGAGCTTTATTTAAACCTACAACACATTAAAGACATCTCCAGAGTTCAGATGAAGCAACAGACCAGGGAGCATGGTTAGACATTTTCAAAATACCACCTTTTTTTTTTTTTTTTCAAAAAGTGAGTGAACTCTTACCAGGCAAGTCTAGGTTTTTCCTTTAATCCTTAAGAAAACACACTGGAGAAACCAGGAAAGTTGATTTTGAGTATTGGTGACAGAATAATCAGAGGTAAATAAATGTGGACCCTCCTAGTTCAATATTTTGTACATTTCCTTTTCTATAGGCTTTTTTTAAATCAGAAATCGAACTGGGGACTTTGTGCCTGTGAGGCAGGTAGCAGAGACACTGAGCTAAATTCCTGGCCCTTCCACAGGCTTTTTAGTAATATTTAAATGAAAACTATAAATTCATTTGTGCAGTGGGGTGCTTGTCTACGACACAAATACCTGAGTCTTAATTTTAACAAATAATGTCCTTTCTCTGAGTCTATTCAACAAAGCTATGGGCCACTTTAAAAATTTTGACAGTTATCACGGGATATCATTAAGCTTAGGTTCAGCTAACATGTGGAAACAATAAGATACAGTCAAATGGTATAGAAGGTACAAGGCAAATACAAACTATAGCACTGCATCCTTTTGCCTTCCCCTGAGATTGTCTCCCAGAACCTGAAATAATGCAGCATTTCACACAGGGTGATACATTATACATAGATCTGTTATCTGCCTTGAGCTACAACTCAACTGTAGGTAGGCAGGAACAACCTCCGCATTATACCTGAGGGAAACTGAGTCTTGGAGTTAAGAGATTATGTCAAGATTTTACAAGTAAGAAGTGATAGGACAGTTGTAATATCTCACAACTTGGTTACACGACTTCACTTGATCCGATTAGGTTAAAAAAAAAAAAAGAATTTTTCAAAGTTAGGGACATGCTCTGTATTTGTCAGTTAGACCAAAGCTTAATTAGTAGTTTGTAGTGTTTTTTTTCCCCTGCTTTTTATTATCTGGTGTGTTTGAACAAATATCAGTAGACCTACCATTTCCATTCCAAAGTGGAGACCAGAAGTCCAAGAACAAAGCTCATTGTCATCCTCCTCCTACATCACAAAGTGGGGTGGATTCTTCAACATCTTACACTGATTAATGACTAGAGCCTCCCCATTTCCCGACTGGAAAGGAATATTCAGCAATGGTTTTCTTCAGAATGAGAGACAAAGGCCTTTTCCAGGAATGGAATGGCTCCTTACCCATTGGAGTAGCTAGAGGGTTATTTCCTGAACTGAGCTGGCTATCATGGGCACCATGCCACTCATAAAAGATTAGCATGCAGATCTGCTTGGTCAGCTGTTTACAGCCTAAGCTAAGAAGGCCAAGGTTATAGGTTCTTATCATGGCCCCACCTAGCTACCATTAAGACCATCTTCCTTCCAACAATGGCACTACTGTAGTAATCATTTCTGATGAAACCTTTGTCAGCTCTCCATACACATTAAGCTAAAAGCTAAGGGACATTTGTCAAAGGCATGTGGATACCATATTGTCATTCAGTGAAAAAACCCTTTCAGTCTAACATTGTTCCAACTGAGCTATTTTGGCTCTCTCAGAAAAAAAAAAAATAAAATAGTTCAAATGCATGTTCCTCCAAGGAAGGGTCTATAGCTCACTTCCATGCATGAGTCATGCTTGCTTTGAATCATAGTCACAATCAGCCACAGCTCTAGCTGAAGCTTCTCAGGTTTAGACCCGAAGGACAAGGTCTACAGTATTCATTCAGCATTCTTCCTTGGGGGCCGGCACAAAAGCTATTATTTAGGGAGCTGACTGAATCTTTATGCTTACACATTAACCATTTAACAAATGGGACTCTCAGGATTCAAGTTTACCTGTGATTAGTAATATGGAAATTCCAACCTTGTCAAATTGGTATGAGTTTAAAGCGGGTAATTTGCACCAAAAGATTGCCGAGGTACTGCTCAATTAGCTAACACTTAAAACAGAGGGGGTGCTAGTGGGAGGAGCCATAAGCAGAGGGGGGGGGGAGGGAGGGAGGGAGACCCCAGGAACTTTTTACAAGTTTTCTGTGGTTTCGTTCTCTGGGTAAGAAATTAGCCAGGTCGCCTGCCTTTAATAGGCCTCCTCCCAACTATAGGGAAAGCCCTTAGGAGGTGTAAACAGAGGCTGATTATCTAAAAACAGCCCTTGCTTTCTGCACGTGAAAGGCAACAAGTGCCTTTTAAAGGACGGCACAGAACAAAACGCCCAGACCTCCAACAAGCAGATTTCCAAAACTCGCTACACCAGCTCCCTGACCGGCAAGACATCAGTTCCTCACAGCGGGCGCGGTGGCTCCCCTGGGCAAACCCAGGGAGGGTAGCAGCTTTAAGGGAAGACAACTTTACCCGTAGGCTTTGGAGCAAGCGATAAGGGGCGAGATGCTCCAGAGTTCTCGCATGTCTGGGGGAAAAGGGACACCAGGAAGAATTATTGGGCCTCTTTTTCCTAAAATGCCGACTCCTACTTCAGGAGGTGAAGTGCTTGCCATCACTTCTCCGAAGCGCAAACGTCTCCCAAGCGCACCCCCGCCAGAAGCGCCCCCCAACCCCCGGCACCCTCGGGCAGGTGGGTGCCGGTCCCACTCAGCGCGGGGCGTCCGGGCGAGAAACTCCCAGACGGCGTCTCCCACACCCCCGGACCCATCCCCGAAGCACAGACTTGCACCGACCGTGGAGCCCGGAGGGGCGCAGACAGCT